ACATGTAAATCCATCAATATATATACAATTATAGGTATTAGTTAGTGTTGATCAAGCACAGAGTGGCAAATAGATAGTTATAGGTGTATTGATATACAATATTATAGAAAATCAAAACAAATGATTCAGCGAAGAGACTCTTTTCAACGAATTTATCATCAAGCTGTACAATCGTATATATATGGTTTTTAAGAAGTTATATCCGGTGAGGGAATTGAAACATAGGTGTGAATGCATGAAATAATAATAATATGAAGTGCAATTAAAACTAAAATGTTTGTGATTATAATCGTAGTTAAAGGTCAAGTGGCAAAGCAAATTAATGTCATATATAGAATAATTCATAGGATGGATAGAACTTGAAAAAGGTGTGCAATTATAAGATTAGTAGACAAATCGAAAAAATAAAAACGTTACGTAATATTGTGTGAAATTTAATAGCATAGGATTGAATGTTGCATAAAGGAATTGATTTAGAATGACAAGTGGAACAAGTGGAATAATACCGGGGACAATTAAAAGTGAGAGTAGTAATAGTAACAATTGACTTAATAAGGAAGAGTATACAAATTGAATAGACAAAAATGAAAAAATGAAAAAATGGAGAGTTGGTAGAGCTAAAGTATGATTGGGGATTACCATACTTTAGCATAGAGGGATTAAGACCATGAAAGTTGGAGGGGGTTGAACGAACTTTTTCTGTACACAGAGATCTGGCTTTTCTGTTTCGATAGCCAAAGCTTCAGCAATACAGATGAGTCGGGTACGTAGGGATTTGGGTAAATTACTCTTTGCCTTGTAGATGACTTTGAAGGCGGAGGCTATAGAGATAGGGTGATCATTATCGACCAGATGTTCAATGATCGCGCTTCTTATTGCTCCACTACCACCTTTTCGTAACCATGCAGGATAGTGTTCTTGCACCCTCTTGGACACAACTGGTGTCGAACGACCGATATACCTAGCTCCACAAGAGCAGGTGAATTGATAAACACACATAGAGTTGGTCAACAGCGGGATTTTGTCCTTCAGGTTATTGAACAATAATGGTCGACTACTCTCACTTTTAATTGTCCCCGGTATTATTTCACTTGTTCCACTTGTCATTCTAAATCAATTCCTTTATGCAACATTCAATCCTATGCTATTAAATTTCACACAATATTACGTAACGTTTTTATTTTTTCGATTTGTCTACTAATCTTATAATTGCACACCTTTTTCAAGTTCTATCCATCCTATGAATTATTCTATATATGACATTAATTTGCTTTGCCACTTGACCTTTAACTACGATTATAATCACAAACATTTTAGTTTTAATTGCACTTCATATTATTATTATTTCATGCATTCACACCTATGTTTCAATTCCCTCACCGGATATAACTTCTTAAAAACCATATATATACGATTGTACAGCTTGATGATAAATTCGTTGAAAAGAGTCTCTTCGCTGAATCATTTGTTTTGATTTTCTACATGTTACAATGGGAATTTTCCATGATACAATATTATATCCAAAGATTCGGTGTTTCAAAGTCAAATAATTGTAAAAGTTTTTCGCAACTTTTTGATAAGATATTCCACAAAAATCAGATTTTTAGGTAACTATGCAAATGTAGCGCAGTTACTCATATTATGAGTAAATAGATTTTAGATAGATAGATAGAGTAAATAGATTCGGTTGAATAGAGATAGAAAAAGAGCTAGCATATGGTAACAGGATGTCATTTCCCCTTAGAATAGACAAATGGTGTATCCAGCTTAATATCTGAATTTCCCGCAAACTCATAAATATCTTCATCTAGTAGGATGACTTTTATGTTGCGCTACACAGTTCAACAAGAATATTTAACGGAAAAGTTAATAAGCTATCTATGTGGAGCAGAAGTACCGGTAGATTACAGTTCTAAAATTAGTGTGTCACATACTTTCGAAAAGAAACATTCTACGGGAAATCATGTCGTATTGATTTTTTTCTGTTTTTACCGTAGTTTGAATAAATATTCACTGTGGCTTATTACAGCCTTTAAGTCTTCTGCATCTCTTTATTCAGTTTAAACCTAAACTGAAAGCTAGTTTAGAAATACATATGGAAACTTGAAGATGTAGTTAAAAAAGGTCTTCAACATTTCGAAGGTGTGGTATTCCCTTTGAAGTATTCTATTTAACAAATGTCTGAATAGTTTTACACAAGAGGATCATGCTTTTATTTCCAATCCCACGGCAATTATTTAGAAAAGATTAAAGAAGTTAACTATTGAAGCAAAAAGGCCGTATTTCGTTTCTGAATAACAAGTATTTGTGTGGATTTTAGTTTGGAAATAATAGAGAACACTTTTGTGGTTCACACGGATGATGCAAAGCCTTCATTGGTTTTGTAGGACACATCTTCAGCTCTAGTTTCAAGATAAAGTTAAGTTCCAAATATTATTATGAGTGCAAAAGCCGTCTCTCTTGATAAACTTGAATGCGATTGTTTATTTTTGGAGATTTCCTTATCCTCTTATACCCTTTGTATTGACATTCGTCATTTTGTATCGACACGATATTTGACTTCCTTTGCATTACTTGCTGAGCCTAATGTATACCAATATACCTATTAGTTGAAGACTAATATGAGCACCAAACTTCTAGGAACTCCCTGGCATCCAAGGTGTTTCCTTTATCCGAGATTCGTACATTTTTCATTCAGATTGGTGTCAATAATTGTCTGCCTTCATGCGCTGGTGTGAGGAAATAATTATCAAGTATTTTGACGGTTGGTTTATTTTGGTGGATGTGAAGACGAAGAAGATAGATGTAATGTGTCTAACAGTAGCTGCAGTTTATTTTGTGGAGGATATTGCTTTCATCTTTATTTGACGTTGTGCCTTTTGATCGAAATAGTGTAAATTGAAATGACTTTTTTGGGTTTATAGGCTACATCTATTCAGAAAGGTTTCATTCCATAATTTCACATATGTTCTTCACACATAGTAAGACGATTTTCCTTTTGCCGTGATTGGATGATTTTGAACTGGTCGGTTGGAATATGGTTGAGCATCATCCGATGAAGCAGCATGGATATCCGTCATTTTGGAATTCGTTTATGAGACATTTCTCCTCTACTGTTTTCAAGGGAGAAATGTTTCAGAGGGATTTAACTCTTTCAAATAATGCTTGTATAGAAAATACTTTGTGTGGTGTTGGGTCGTTGCTGTTGTGATTGTGTATTTTCTGTGTACGGATTGCATTTCTGTAAAATCGAGTTTTGAATTTTACTAGATTAGTGCGCTTGACCAAATTCTCTAATGTATCGCAGTTATTGGTTACAAAGCGTTCTGTGCAACATAAGTGAACAGTGAAAGTGAACTCATTAAAAAAATCAGCACTAATCAAAAAGACTTAGTTAATACAACTTCTTAATAACTATAACAATCACAAGTAGAAACAGTTAGGATTGACTTATTGTTAATTTGACTTCATAAGAAATTTCTGACTTGATTATTTTTAAAAGTTTCAAAGGGCTCAGGAATTTCTTAAAACACAAGACGGTATACTACCATCATCTTTACCTATTGAACCTATTTCTTTTTCTCCTGATAAGTTGGATCTTTATATTTTGACCTAGTTACTAGTTACAGGCTTCAAATTGATAACTATGAAATCAATTCATCAAAATTCCTGTGAGTGGAGACAGCTATCTTGTCTCGGATATTGACTTGTCACGATATTTTCTTTAATCTCGTCTTTTGCTGTAGCTGTAATTTAAGCATAAAGGTCAATGCTTGTTTGCCAGGCCATTATTTTACATGCTTATTTGTTGTTCCTCACAGTTGATGCTAAAGGTTTCACAAAATCATCTTACATACCGAATTTCTCCAGACTAGCTATTACTTCACGACCATGCTACCTTAAATTGCAAGTTGGAAGATACAGATTCATGACTGAGTTTTAAGGAAATGTAAGACGAAATCAGTTAAAGCTTGCTTTAAAACTACATTTTTTTCTCAGTGATTAGTAACTGTCGTCGAACTGGCATTATTAAAGTCTTTAAGGAAATTCATTCCAGTGTAGTTTGCATTCAAAGAGGCCAGAAGAGGAATACACCGGGATATAAGGTATTTTAATGCTTATATAGACTTAAGTAGCTATGTGGATATAAGTTTCCTTCAGGTAACATCATGGGACACATAAGTTGTTTTACAACGCAGTGAAACTTTCGACAGTAAATGATTCAAAAGACTTCAACCGGCTTGCTCTAAATTGGTAGGATATTGATCATAGGTGTCTTCATTTCATTACATATATTATGCAATTGATAGTGTTGAAATTACAGATAGGGTTAAGAAAGGAAGGTAAATCAGTCCATAAAGTTGTGAGCACTCAGTATTACTTGACGGATGACCTTCCGAACAAACTTTATTGATCACAATTATATCAACTGCAAATACACAAATCTGAAACTTGATCTTTTTGTGTTAGAAGTAGAATTTCTCAGACGTCATAAGGGAAAGGTGTGTTGAACCATTACTACTTCATACATTCTCAGTTGATTAAATAATTACAGTTCCAGTTATCAATCTCTCCCTCCTCTCTGTTCCATTTTAAGACTGTTACATGGTTCCATCCTACTGTATGGTTTTATGTAACCTCATCCAGTAACATAAGTGAATTTTTGCCTATATTTATTATCTTATTATTAAGGTCTAGTTGTCTGAATTTCGCTAGTTTGTTTTCTCCGCTATTCTACTGAAATTCTGTACACTACTTTTTATTAAATCATTCTTTCTACAATATTCACTCTTGTCCATTGTAGTGTCCATAGATTTCCATTCCCTATTTTTCCTTTTTTCTAAGTCTTTTTTTAATTTCGTTTTGTTGCCGTTCCAAAATAACACAACTTCAAAAATCACATCATGTACTGAAGGATACTAGACTCGAATATGCCCTTACAAAATTCTGAGGCTGCTAAGGTATATATAAGAAAAAAAATGTAAAACGCCATATTATTTTGAAAATTCATTGTTTTATTAACCAATATTTAAAATTTTTACGTAGAGAAAACCAATCCCACTACCAAAATAACAGTTTCAATATTTTGTTTGACTTTTTATAACAAGAGAAATATGTCATAAAAGAACGTTAGGTTTGTACACCAATTCCTATATTTTTATAAGTGTGCAGCACACGTGAATGTATATAAGATATGCGTAGGAAGATATGTAGACCTGCTTTGCATGCTTTCACATTTTCTTCAAATTAAGAGCGTTAATTATTTAACTGTTCATTTATTGAGAAGTTTTCCGAAGGACACTATACGGTTACACGTCCCCACCATTTTTAAGAACATAATCCATATCTCTTTTCAACTGACACATGACACATTGTGTACAAAGACAAGATAGTACAAAATCATTTGTCATTGAACCCTGTATAACACATTCACAAAATAAAAGAGAAAAAACAATGACAAACAGATAAACACACTAAGTTATATTTATACTGATGATGTATGAAACTTCTTAGAAAAACACTGACAAAGTTACGCTTCTGATTACAGAACTGTTTTTATTACTTGTCAGGCCATAAAAGTTATAGGTTTTACATTCCACGTGCATGTATTTGATACATCCAGTCAGCAGACTGACTTAAAACATAATGAAATAGCTCCCCATGACAATACCAGAGTGTGCTAACTCTTAGCTGATTATTTCGTGCAGAAACGAAATCAACTATCGGCGGTGTTGTTTTCTTTGAGATGGATGGTTTAATTGAGTTGCTCTCCTTCTGGCTAATAACTTTAGACCTAACTTTACATTGAAGCAGTGCATGTTTCCAACTTTTACATATAAATTCACCAGATCACTCCAACGCTGTGCTGACATGCTCGTCAGTTAATGTAGTTGTTGTCTCATGAATATTTGCAGTTGAAAAAAAATAATAGTGTTTTTTTGTTACAAATTCTGTGACGTCATGTCCTAGTTTACTGTTGCATTATCATAGACTGGCTATCTCACTGTTTGTTCTTTATAAACCCAACGGTTGGTTATTGATTTAGGTGTTTTCCCTTGTAACACTGACTAGCTTGAGAGATGGACTGGATTAATCCACTTATCACAATAAGAATGCATTTCACATTAGGTTACGATATATGACAAACGGTATTACACAAATTATATCAAAGCATAAATGTTTCTTTTAAAAAGAATTCCAAGAATATTTAAATTTGTGTATTCCTGTAAATCTTTATCAGAGAGTAAAGTGTTTTAACTAGTTGATTTAAATGATTCGCTGTTACAGAAGTATCTGGGTTGATGAGCATTATAGTGCTATTTAACAAATAGGAATATGTGACTGCGATCACTGAAGTGGAAACTGGCCAAAAAATCATTCTTTCTCAACTAATTAGTGCGTAAACTCCTAGGATTAATGAGCTTTTGTAAACAATGGACACATATTTCCTGATGAAACAATAAGCAGCTTTCGGTTCCGCAGATAATGAAGAATCAAAATTACGAAATATTCCTATAAAGCTGTAACACCTTTCCGAGTAACAACTAATACCTTGACTCTTTGATCAAGCTTGCACATTACATTAACCTGAGTTGTTTTGAATGTAATGGTTGTTTTTATCAGTTTCACACTGTCAGAAATGTTAGCCATGTAATAGTGAATCTGAAAGCAATTACCCTCTTAGTGAGCGAAGACATGGCGCATTGACCTAAGCCCTTGACTGTCAGTCAATTGTTTCCCAGTTCGAGTCCCGCTTTACCGATTTTTTCAGCTTCGGCAGCTAGGTAGTTTCATTAGCCCTCACAAATTAAATGTGGCTTGTAACCCAGTAATGGGTAACTGAGGTCTAACCAAAACCATCCTCGTAGTGAAAACAGTCTGCACTACGATGGAACTCTGAGGACGAATTCGTACTGCTGACGAAAAGGATTACTATAGAAATATGGTATTTTTCTCGGATGACCTGTTAAATATCTCACCTCACACTCTAAATAAGTGGGATTAAAAAAATGGGATACGAAAACACTTTATGTCTTGACTTATACTGTGTTGTCTAAGGCCAGTAATACGGATTCTACAAGATTTAGGTACTTTTAGGCAAATCACGCTAGGCTGAACTCAAACAAATATCTGACAGTCTCTGAAAACACCCTAAACTAATCTCTTTCTTCTTTCAGAACATATTTTGTTTTCCGCAAAACACTTATAATTATCTTCTGAATTTACTTCCCGGAATACCCTTCAGAGCTTAAGAAGTTTCTCAAAAACACTGAAAGCATTATTTTAAATGATAAAGATAATCATATAACTTGCATTGATATTGTGCCTATGACGTTGTCTCATTCTAAGTGGACCCGGACCAGCTCCTAAAAATGGTAACCAGCACGGTTCACTTGCGTACGAGTACAAGTAACATAAATATCCGCATGGGCAGAAAAGTGATAAAGCACCTAAACAGAAAAAGAAAACATTTGATGAAAACAAGTAAATAATGGAGAGACATTTCTTATGGATTGAAAGTGTCAATCCGTCAATAGGGGTTGAGTCAGTGAACCGTAGGTAATCTGTTTGGATTCTCTTAATTTTAGATAAGATTTTATTTTGATAAATCACACAGTGTTGAACAGTAATATTTACTGATGACGTTTAGAGCACTGTGTGATTAATCAAAATAAAATCTTATCCATAATGGAGTTATGCTCTACCACAGTGCCCAAGTTTTATACTTATATCTTTTAATTTTAAACGTCTCTTTACTAAGGAATCATGGCTTTTTCCAGTAAACTGATTGACAATGGTGACCGTTAAACTGTGTTTAGAGTGTTTTGATAATAGATGGGTTGGCTATCAAAAAAAACTGGAAGCATTTATTTCCGAAGACAAATTTACGGGAAAACAAAGCAGGACTTAATGAATGCATCAAATTTCAATAAGACTCCTCAGCTGAACACTTTACATATATATATATATACTACTGAGAAATACATGGGGAGATATGTGACCGATCGTTCATCCATGGAAACAGCATTTCGGTACTTTCGGTCGAAGAAAGCTTAAGTAAAGGTACCAGAAAGTCCGATAACAAAGTATTTTGAAGACTACGGACAAAAAGTAGACACTTTCAAGTTCCCATTCACTGTTGTCAGCAGATAAAAAAACATAAAGGTAACTGTGAATCCTGCGGATTGGAAGGAAGGCTACTTGTTCAAACTACCAAAGAAGGGAGACTTAAGTCAATGCAACAACTGACGAGTGCCAACTAGCACGAAACCTAGGTCCAAGGCTTCCTGCAGATTGCCTCCAACCACCTAATATCATCACAAACTATGTACACCGTGATGGCGAGCTACCTAGAATGGTGGCCACATTACAACCTGACTGATAGCATTCAGTCTGCACCAAAGAGAGGACTAGACGCATCACACTAGTTACTAGTGTCAAATCAAAAACATTATGTTCATGTCTATCCCAAGCAAAATATTAAGCTACAGCATCCTGGGGAGAATCAAACACGCCCTGAATGAAGAATTTCGACCCGAACAGGCTGGATTCAGGAGAAATAAGTCAGGCATCCATCAAATCGCCACACTGCGGATCATCATTGAACAGAGCTTGGAATGGCAGTCACCTCTCAAAAGGCCTTCGACAGCGTAGTTCAATCATCCAACAGTTGTAAGGTAATGCTGCGTGCCAAGTAATCACGAAATCCTTCGAAGTGAAAACGGGAGTAAGACAAGGCTGGCTGCCTACTACTATCTCCAGTGATTTTCCTGATTGCGGTAGACTGGGTAATGCACCAGATAGCAGACAACGAGACAGGCATAAAATAAACCCACACAAAAACCTTGGAGGATCTGGATTTCGCCGATGATATACGTCTGGTTTCCCTCAAAATGGAAGATATGCAAGTGAAAAGCAACAAGTTGGCAGAAAAAGCATCCAGAGAAGATAAGACTTCAGGTGAACATAGAGAAGACAGGTGATGAAGATTCCTGGCCAACAGCAATAGCAACAGCAACAGACAACAATCAGCCAGCATAAACGGGAGAAATGTGAAAGAAGCAACCTCCTTCACCCACCTACCTACCTGGGGAGCATCGTTTCAACTACAGGCGGACGAGACTGATGAGGATATCAAAGCAGCGAGGATCGGGAAAGCAAGGTAAACTTTCATTTCTCTCAAGTCTATGTGGAGATCAACAGCAGTCAGAATGAAAAACAAGATGCAGATTTTCAACTCCAATATGAAGTCACTGCTACTATACGGATCAGAGACTTGGCGGGTCACAAAGAGCACTCCGAACAAACTACACACCTTCATCTTCGCTCAGTACTCAAGATCAGATGGCCAGAAAAGATCAGCAACAGGGGTTTCTGGGAACGAACCAACCCAGCAGGAACCAATTGTGAAACAAATATTCAGGAGGAAATGGAGTATGGATTGGCCATACTCTGAGAAAACCATCAAGTGACATCACAAGACAGGCCATCGCTCGAGTGGAACCCGAAAGGGAAGCGGCGAGTTGGTCGTCCAAGGGTGACATGGAGGAGGTTATGTGAAGAGGAGATGAAAGCATGTGGGCAGCCGTAGAGCCAGGTGAAAACGTTGACAGGGAACTGAACGCAATGGAGACGTGCGGGTGAAGCCCTATGTCACTCTAGGAATTGAAGGAAACAATATTAATAATAATAATTGCGAATCCGGCAAGTAGTGCTGTTACAGCCTATGAAGCCGGTTGCTGTGTACATAAGAAAATAGTGATAACTTCCAATCTACTATCGTAATGACTATTAATTAATACTTGTTACTGTTTTATTCTATCTCTTGTTATTATTTTTGTCTCGATTAAAACAATCTTTAGTCGGTACCATTATCTTAACTCGTTTCACAGTTATTATTATAACTCATTTCTCCATTCCTAACATTTCAAAATGCTTTCTCTGATAACTAATTGTTTATCATTGTAACACAACTAAACTGTACTGCACTACAAGTTTAATTTTCAAACTCTTATAGCTGTTCCAGTCCCTCTTTATCTGAACTTGACCTGTATGAAATTTTCTCCTTTCGTTTTGCTGTGGTTGATTCACTTTATTTATCTGTCGCCTATTTACTTGTGTATTCCTCGTGATATATATAAATAATGCATTCAGCTGAAGGGTTTTATTGAAATTTGATGAATTCATTAAGCCCTAAATTATTAACATTTGTTGCTTGTTTCTTTCAAACTTTCCAGCAAAGTTTGACATGAACTTCATCCGTAGAGGTGTGTGTATACAATCAAATAAAATCTTTACACGTTACATTATACTAATGGAGGACAGTTCAATAAGATAATCTTTAACACATTTCTTCGCTTCATCAAACGTTTATTTAAAGTTTGTATAAGAATGAAAGTAGCAGTTGTTTGTTTGTTTTTTGATAACTTGACTCCAGATATGGTCGATTACTTAATTCCTCAGAAATTCGACTTAAATAGGATGAAAAGTAGAGGAAATGGAAAATATTCCTCCTTCTAGGATCGATAATAATCAATTTACATTTTAGATGGATAATAAATAATTAAGGCATTGACTAGGTTTTCATGACGTACTTTTAATCAGTCAGCTTACTGATGCCATCTCAAGATATAAAACAACTGACTGAACATTGTTTAGAGTTAGGGGTCGGACGGTAAAAACAATATTGAGCTTAACAATCCCCAGAAACAAAGTATATCTGATGCCTTGAAGAGGCTAATACTACCTCAAAACTGATGACACTCAGCCTTAATGGACTTCTTTTTCTAACAAAGAAGAAGTAGCAAAGTTTAAAAAAAGGTGAACAGAAGCAGAGTAGATATTAGGCTGTCAGAAAACGAACCAAAACCCTATTAGATTAATTAGTTTTTAAAATATTGATTGACGTTTTATTTGTCTACAGAAATAAATTTATGGTATGCGATGAGTCTACCTAATAGTGTCACGAAATACTACAAACTACAGGTATTACTCACGTGTCAGTGCAAAAACAAACTTTCTGAACGGTACAAGAGTCACTCAAAACAACTCCATATAAACAATGTTGACTTTGTTAATAAACTAACCTTCTAGACAAATAGTTCACTTACTGAATATCAAATATGTTTATTTACAAAGTTAATGATTTAGTATTGACACAGGTGACACAGCTATTGCTAATTGAGAAAAGTATAATTTCCAAGAATGACTTCTAAAGACAACTAATGAGTGTTAGAAGAAGGTACTGAATTATTTCTCCATTGTGTTTTTAACGTACCACAAGTGTTTTTTTCAAAGCTAAAATAAGGATATGACGAAGTCTATTGTACAACAATATCCTGTTACATGATCCCGTGGGTTTTAATTTCGAAAATTTCTCAAAGTCACTTTACTCATGATAGATAAACCGACTTTACGGCACAGTGATTATTACTTTTTGGAACAAAATCTGTGAACTTACATAGTGGTATATTGCATTAAGCTTCTATGCTACTTTGAGAGAAGACAGTGATTGTAAAGAAATACCGCAAATGAGCAAGACAAAGAAGCACCAGTAGAAAGATAATTGGATACCAGACGAGTAGGATCTTAATAACAGGATAGGAACTTTTTGGAACAAGATTTTATACGTGCAGGTTTTTTTGTGTGTGGTAAGTTTGGTATTGGTGAACGTGAGACACAAACTAACTTCTAGTGTGCACACATAAAGATAAAAGCAATTTGCATAAATCAGATTGTTAGTGGACGACGTGCTGCTAACTCAATTCTTGACTTCGAAACATCTTTAACATTTTGCGGTACGAAGTATTAAAATAACCACTGAACTGAGATCTGTTGCATTCCATAGAACTCTCTCAGTTGTTTGCCTTCATGCATTTTAACTTTTTGATGAATTGGAATTAGGCAAGTGATGCACTGTCATAACGATGAATTCCACCGTATATCCGGTAAACTTATCAATCTCCGTGCGTTAACTAATTACCAGTTTAGTCATAAAAGCCTTAATCCAAATATATTCATCAGTCATTGGAGACGTGATTATCTAGCTAAGTGCTACGCTGCTGCTACGCAGGTAGAACTATATCATCAGGTATTACCACTAAACCTTATACGTACTTGGTAGTTTAGCCATGTAAAAACTATATATATATATATATATATATATATATATATATATATATATATATGTATAACGAATGAAATCAATCAGCTGTCATTTTCAAATTCTGAAATAAAAGTTAAGCAAACACTGCAAATATTCTGGACTTACAGCTGGTCATATCATTTGTGCACTCAAATAATCCTGATTCCCATTCTCTTGTTTCCTCTGGTTGCTAAATAAACACATTCAGATAGTGGGAAAAAATCTCCTAATAATATGAATAGGCAAAAATTTCATGCTATTAGATAAGTCTGCTGCAAAAACGCATACTGAGAAACGCTTGATGAATGACTGTTAAACAAGCAAAAAACGGTACAGTTCTTTACCTTACTTTTAGAGGCTGAATCCTTTGAGAAACCTTCAGAACATTGAGCGTAAATGTCAAATCTGATTCAGCAAGATTTTATATACCTCATTCGAACAAACAAAATTTTTTTCACATGTAAGAATAAAGGGGCAAATTTACTTTTATAATTAATTCTAAAGATGAATAATTGAAATATTTTCCTGATTTTTAAACTAATCTACTCGTGATTGAAGAAACACAGGAATGTAAGTGACTTGAATACCAGATGGAAGCAAATTCGTATTTGAACTACGAGTGAAATTCTCGGAAGTGGCATGATTCGAACCAGCGGTTTTCAGCTTGTCAAGTGGTTTCATTAACAACATGGTGGAACTGTGGTTGAGATGTACCTTGCGTACATAAAATATCACGATGACTGCCTATTCTGACTCACTTTAAGAACAGCTCAGTCGACATTCTTCGAGTCACATACTTCTAGTGAGGGATTCAGGAAATGCGAATCATATGTAGACCAAATCTCAACGATGCAAACCATCATCAAACACAGAATACAATGCCAATCAATTGTCTACATAAGTTTCATTGACTGTAAAAAGGCTTTCGATAGTGTCAACCGTGAAGTAAATTGAAAACTGCTTCAAAACTACAGTGCTCCAAACATCTATAAATCTCACTCAACGGACATATGATGAAGTTACGTGCCAAGTGATTCAAAACGCGTGTATCAGCGAAGCGTTTGAAGTGAAGACATAAGTTCGGCAACGCCTTCCCCCTACCACCGATGATATTTCTGATTGCGGTAGATTGGTTATGTGACAGACACTGGGGAGTGAAGAAACAAGTATACCTCGGATAAGAGAAAAGATACGAGAATAGAAGGACTTCCTGGGTGATTTATGTCTCATGTCACTTAAACTCGGAGATCTTCAGACGAAAAGTAACAAGTTGGCAGAAGAGGCAGTGAAGACAGGATTTAAGTGAACACAGACAGAATGGAGGTGATGTAGTCATCCGATCACTAGACTTAGTAATCATCGGGGGAGAAATTTAAAGGAAATCGTCCCTTTCACTTATTCCGCAGCATTGTTTCAACTAGAGGCTGCATCAACGAAGATGTTAAAGCCAGGAAAAGATGGATCTTGTTGGTTATGGGTAATAAATTGTGCTCGAAATGTCATTGTTCTTAATACTGTATCCCTACGTTACATCATATACACTTATCTGAAATGGGACCGTAATCCCCCAGTGCCAAAATTCTACTCTCACTTTAAAGGCAGACCTTCATTACTCTGAATACAGTGTGGATATCTACTGAACTCAGTATAAGAAACAAGGTTCGAATTTTCAAAGAGAAATTAAAGTTAGTTCTTCGATATGGTTCAGTGATTCGGTGCATCACCCAAAGCATTTCAAGCAAGCTTCACCTTTTTATCAGCAGCTGCTTTCGCTCCACAAATAAGATCGGATGTACGGCTAGAAAGAATAAGCAATTAAAACTCTGGGCGCGAACGAACAAACAACCTATAAGCCAACAAATACGTAGAATAAATGGAGATAGACCGGACACACGCTGAGTAGATTGTCAAGTGACGTTACGAGCCAGATTCTAGAGCGGAAAGTGAATGGGAATCAACAAGTTGGGTGTCCAAAGGCAACATGGAGGGACAATGTGCTGAGGAAATGAAAGCCTATGGGCAATCGTAAAACCAGATAAAAAAAAGACTGCAGAGAACCTAGTAAAATCGAGATGTGCTGTTGAGATCTTATGCCCACTAGGAATCCAAATAAATAATACGTATTTCTAGTATATTTTAAGAAAACGCCTATCTTTCATGCGCGAAAGCTGACTGGTTAGATGAAAAAACCGTTTGTTAAAAATGAAAAGTTCTTTATGGAAGTGCGACTGTCAAAATGAATAGCGCAATTTTGCAGTTTATGCACCTGACTACTCATAAGTAGGCAAATATATATTAGTCAACTGACTTGAAATATGATTGGTAGTTTGTGATTCTTGTACTGAATAAGCGAAACGAGTCAATCTTGTATGTAATTTTTGAACGCAGTCTTTAAAAGCACATAGGCATCGTATGACATCACTACTTCAGTTCTCGTCGGAATGTCTCTCAAAGTTTACAGTTCAGTAGCGAGTGAATGGGGATCAACCACAGTCCATTGAAAACGTTCTTCAAAACCTGGATATGATTCTAATTACATTTGTTCACAGCGAACTATAATACTATCATTCTTACATATATGCTCATTGAATTTCATACTTTTTATGCAACAATCATTACATTATTTATGTTTTTCTTCAGTATTACCATTCCCAATAGATGAATTCAACATGTATCAATGTAGCTTTCGTCATGAACCAACAGCAGGAAGAAAGACGTTGCAAGTCTTCCACAGTATGCGTTAATTAAAACTGCCTAACGCAGGTATTAAAGCTATCCTCTGGTACCTGGCTTTAAGTGACACTCTATGTTGTGTTCGTTATAGATCATACCGACCTTGAGTTCAATCAAATTCGCACGGATGATTTTCATTTGACATAACAAAATTTAAAAAGCCCAAGCACCAAAACAGTCTTTGAATGCATTCATTTAGATCACTTTTGTGAAAAAATTGCAAATAAGTGAGACTATACAGCTAAACACAATGAACTGACTGAAAACAGCTTGTTCGCTGGAACTACTCTTTTTTTATCATTAGATGTCTGTACTTCCCACAAACGTATATCTACAAAGTCTTCCGTTAAACTATTTTCACTTTGTAGTTTTAAAATCCTAGTCTATAGAAATGTTTTTGTTAAAATTCGTCTTGGGAAGTCTCTGTTTGATGCAATGATGATATTTTAAAATTCATCACATTTATCTCTGGAAACACAATGCCAAAAAAAATATATAGTGAAAAATAAAATTCTGAAATTAGGTAGGAAGAGTAATGTTTGTAATATCCCAGAGGTATGAGCAGATATATTTACATGAGTGACACTATTCCTAAACCACACTGAATATCCTCACTAATCATTGATTTCTGAACACGACAAAATTCTCAAAATCAACGAATAGCAACTGTCTTGAAACTAAATATGTACTAAATAATGTTTATTATAAATCAATATTATTATCAGTACAAGTGTGTAGACGCCCAGTGCATATGATTGATTTTCTCATTTCTAAGGACACCTACTTGCAATATGTGCAGGTGGATATAAGACAAAATGGAACATATCATAGACAGGTAAGAAAAATTAGTCGATTCGGCAACGTAATATATCAAGTTGAATTAGGCTGAAATCACTGCATGCTTAAACCTCACCTATCTAACTAGCTTTCTAACAGCTTCCAAGCCCGGACAAAGAGGGAGGGTTGGGCGTAGGGCTACCTAACGTACACCACAAAAGCTATCAATCTGTTTGAGAAACTTCAATGCACAAAAAGTATATTAAAAACACAAAAAATTCAAATAACAATCTTATTCTTCGCTGCAATTGCAGAGGTGAAATGACATAGCGGGTTGGTAAAATCCTTCGGGAAGTCAGTCAGTCAGCCAATGTGTCTTCTCTCGATAAAAACAAGAATAAGAATGGGGAAGTGGAATGTGATTACAATTTACGAGGCTGACTGGGAAGACTACCAAGGTAGCCAAAAAAATGAGAATACATAGCATTGAAGTGCTCGAAATCTGTGAAAGCAAGTGGAATGGATACGGACTGAAAAAATCGTCATCTGCAAAGTCAATAATCTAATTCGGTCTGGTCACACAGACGATAATCACCAGCACACTGAGGCAGTGAGTGGCTATCATGATGTCACCAGTGGCAGTCAAAGCCCCGATGCATTGGGAACCGATCGCCTCCCGCAGGATTATGACAGCAACATTCAGCTCAAAAGGAAGGTCACAATTATCATGCAATGCTACGCACAATGCTACAAACAACGTGGAACTAGAGAAGAAGGAAGATCTCTATAGAAAAGTGTAAACAGTAATGAACAACATCTGCGAATGGAAACATCGAAATCCTTATGGGAGATATGAATGCAAGCCAAACTGGGGGAAGGCAATACAGGTAGAGAACTCATCATGTGTCGAGAGGCTCTTCTTCGGAGAAATGAATGAGAACGCAGAACTCTTCGTAGACTTCTGCGCTTTCAATGATTTGGTGATTGGAGGCAGCGTATACAAGCACAAGGACATACAAAGGTCAACATGGATTTCACCTGACAGACACACCACAAACCAGATAGACTTCATCTCAGTGAAGTGGAGACGCAGCCAGTCTGCTGGACACAAAGTCGAGAAGGGGAGCAGATGTGGGTTCAGACCATCATCTAGTTCAAGAAACCTTCAAGGTGGAGGTGAAAGCTTTCAGAACAACTGCAGACAGACCACAATTCAAGTTCAACATTCAGAAACTGAGAGATACGACTACAAATGATACCTTAAATGCAGATATCAGAGCAAAGTCGGAGACACTGCGTGATATCACTGAGGAAATCTGCGTGGAAGAACATTGGAACTAACTCTCTGAAGGTGATGTTCAAGGAAACGTGTACAACTGTTATGGGAAGAAATAAGAGACAAGACAATGAATGGTTCCCAACGGATACCTACCTGGAGGCTAATCGAGGAGAAGAGGATGGTGAAAGAGAAGATAAATCAATGCAAAGATGGACAACAGAAAGAGAAGCTGAGTTCAATGTACACTGCACTGAATAAAGAAGTGAAGAAGAGTGCTAGAAAAGACAAACGACAATTCTACGACACACTGACTGGCAACTGAAGCAGAACAGGCCGCAGGCAAAAGAGACATGAGGACACTATATCAGATAACCAAGTCTCTATCCGGGAAGAGATCAAACCAGATGATGAAACTAATAAAAGATTCTCAAGGGGACCTGATTGCCGAGGAGGAGAAACAAATCAAACAATGGGTTGACCACTTTAAAGGACTCTTGAATCGATCACCACCTGCAACTCGCCCAGAAATATTAGCAAGAGCATGCACAAATCTCCCGGTGGACACCAATCCTCCAACGAAAGAAGAAATCCTGAATGCGATCAAGCTACAGAAGTCCGGGAAGGCAGCAGGAACAGATGGCATTTCTCCCAAAGTACTGAAGACGGCCCCAGATATTACGGCAGATGTTCTCACCCCATTACTGCAAAAAGTTTGGAAAGAAGGAAAGGTGCCTACTGATTGGAAGAAGGGCTACCTCATCAAAGAAGGGTGACTTAGGTCTGTGGAAGAACTGGCGTGGAACAATACTCTTGTCCACATCTAGTAAAACACTAAGTCGCATCATCCTGGAGAGAATAAAGGATGCACTGAATGCAGAACTCCGCCGACCGGAAAAAGCTGGATTCAAGAGAAGCAAATCATGTGCTGATCAGATTGCAACTCTACGCATCGTCTTCACAGAACAAAGCATAGAATGGCAGTCAAACCTCTACCTCAACTTCATCGATTTCGAAAAGGCCTTCGACAGCGTAGACCGAAACCTATTTTGAAAACTACTTCAACACTACTGCATGCAGTGACTAAATCTTTATCAACATCATTCAACAACTGGCTGGTTATATGACAATGCCACTTAACAGGTGATCCACAACGGAAAACTCAGCTAGGCGTTTGAAGTGAATACAGGAGTAAGACAAGGCAGCCTGCCTATGATCACCGATGATATTCTGAATTGTGATGGACTGGATTATGTGTCAGACTGGGCACAGAGAGAGAAAACAGGAATACGCTGGATCACTCGATAAGAAGACTCTAGAAGATCTGGATTTCACAGATGATATATATGTAATGCCACATAAACTTCAAGACTCACAGACGAAAACCAACAAACTGGCAGAAGAGGCTAGCAGGCAGCGACTACAGGACTCCAGGTGAACCCAGAGAAGACGGAGGTGATGAAGATAACCAACGAACCGCAACAACAACAACCAGTACCAATCATCATCAATTGGAGAGATTTAACAGAGGTTACTTGCTTCATTTATCTAGGAAGCATCGTTTCAACCACGGCCACACGGCACTGATGAAGATGTCAAAGCCAGCCAAAATCAGAAAGGCTAGATAGGCCTTCATCAAACTGAAACCAGTTTGGAAATCTTCTGCTTCACTCAGCCAACATAAATAACAAGATTTGGATTTTGCAACGCAAATGTGAAGTCGGTCAGTTCTTCTATACGGGTCAGAAACTTGACACGAGAAGCATTTCGAACATGTTGGAGACTTTTATCAACAGCTGCCTTCGCTGGTTCCATATTGAAGATTAGATGGCTGGCCAGAAAGAATTAGCAACAGGAAACTCTGGCGACAAACCAACCAAGAGCCGATCGCTCGAAAAATATGTAGGAGAAAATGGAGATGGATCAGGCATACATTGAGGAGGCCATCGAATGACATCCCGTGCTAGGCTGTCGAGTGGAATCCAAACCGGAAGCGACGAGTGGGTTGTCCTTGGGTGACATGGGGGGAGATCGTGCGAATAAAAGGTGAGAGATTATGGGCAATCGTAGACCCAGCTGAAGAGAACGGTAGAAAATAGAACAAAGTGGAGATGTGCTGTTGAAACCCTATGTTTCACTTGGAACCCAAGGGGATAATAATAATACACTGCATGCTTAAATGTTGTACTCCGGCTGGTTGGTTAAGAAAGAAATATCGTTGAAATCACCAACTTCTTTGATGAAAGCTGCGACGGGGGGTGATGCAACATTTGAAATTAATTATTCCATCCTGATTAAATCAAAATTAGACACTTATTGAGTACAGTGATACATGTGTTGTCAACAAGAGGACTAACGGCGAAAATATCCACATGCTGGTAAACAATGTCTATAAATGAGCGAAAATCGCCACTGTTTAAGCAAAACCTTGCTGGATACTTCAGTTAACGATGGAAACTCACTAGCCAAGTCTGACAGGGATCGATCAGTGAATAACAATTACGTACTAAGACTTAACAGCAATCATCTATATACAACTGGGAAAATCTGCATAAGAATTATCTTTGTAAGAGTAAAAATCACACTGTGGTGTGCATCAGAAACAGGAAAAGATACACCATGGAATCAAGTAGTGTTGAGCAGTTGATGCATTGGACAGGTATTAATATGGTTGTCACTAAAACCACATACATACTCTTTCACCTAACTTCAATCATAAATAATCCTTTCCCTCGTAATAACAGTAACAACCAACAATGAGTAATATCTGCCGGTAAAACTACAAGAAAATGTAATTGACAAATTCTTTATATAATCAATAGGACTATTGATTAAGGACTTAATATGAATGAAGTTTCTAAAAGGTGTTGTAAGAATGCAAACAATCCGTGGAAATTATACGTGTCAATGAAAGTTAAGTACAATTTAATCACTATTAAATAGGTCAACTATTTTGAATAACTTTGAAACACATGTATGGATTCAAAATGATCAATCTACTGTCTTTACTATACCAAGAGGAAGATTTCTAGAATTTGGACAATTCTATTATGCAGGAAGACAGAAAGTGAGAAAATGAACAGAAGGTTTTTGTGAAAGGGGTTCACTTCGTGGGACTACATGTACAGTTAGGAGAACTTTAACTTGAATCCTGTTATAAGTGTAAGTAGAGTGAATGAAGTGCGTCGGTGGCACGGCGGTAGAATGCTCGCCAACCCCGCAGATGGTTCAGGGTTCAATCCCCGGCCACCAACGCACTCCTTTACCTCACCAAGCCAGTAATAAATCTGGTAAAGAGGGAAGGTTGGGCATGAGGCTAGAGATTCCATCCCGTAAAAATAAATATCACTGCTGCCGAAACCTCAAAGCTCTAGCTTGAAGCCCTATGTTCCACTGGGGACGTAAAGGAATAAAAAAATGAATGAAGGAATTACCGCATTTCGACATATTTTTTAGCCAGATATCGTTTTGGTGTCAAAGCAAATCAGTTGTCATGAGCGAGTAATGCGCTCCAACTGGTACGTTGTTCAGAGTAAAAGCCTTACTCTACCTAAATCCACTCTCCCTTTCTTCTGCATAGCAGCATGAGCCGTTTCACACTCTACTTGACAACCTCACAGTCTGATACATAAACTTATTCTGAGGAGCTGAATGACACTACTCACAACAACATAATCCATTTGTGATTTCAAAAAAGTGACTCAATTTAACTACCAGTTTCTTCTACAATTATATCACTCTAGATAGATATTTTTCGTTTCTGCGGAATTCACTAGTTTTGATTACACCTCATAACATACTTTATACAATCAAACTTTCTTGAGTATTCCTAATACGACATGTTATTATCATTCAGGCATACTGAGTCATGATGAAACCTCGTACAGAAATACTATTTACAATGCAACCTCTGTAGCCAACCAATTAAGCAAAATCCCTTTCAACTTTCTTTACTGATGTGTTTAAGATGAATTCCCATAGGGCAGCTTCCGTGTTCACTTTTACCACATAACAGACTAATTTTAGGTATCGTAAATTGAAAACCCAAAATATAGTATTCACATGATAGTAGAATACTAGGAATCAAGCCCTTTTAAAACTCAATGGTCTGTTCACGTTTACACGCCATAAATTACTACTGAATATTTAAGCTCAAGCTTTTCTCAAGATCTTGATCATGAAACCAAGTTAAACAGAATGTAAGCTCAAATTACAGCATTCAACCTTTATAGCAAGAGATTAAATTCCAATCTAAAAATCATGTCTACGCATCAGACTCATAACGCTAATCGTTAAATAAAAGGCTTGAATAACAGTCTTACTTGCATATCCGGGTTACTACAATATTGTTAAGTTTAGTGTCTTGCACAATACACATCGATCAGTACAGTTAGCTATGCTAAGTCAGTCATAACTGACGCTAATTGATTATTTTACTTGATCAACATAATCAAGGCAGTCAGTGTTGTATGTGATAAATGCTAAGAAGGTTTAACATTCAAAGAAGAAACGTATCTAAACAACGTGAAATTATTAAAACAGATGACCAAAAAGATGTACTTCGCAGAATTACATTTCTAATACTTACACTTAAATTCAACTTTACAGGAAAATCACCAGTACTTCACACCCTTAATATGCTTTTAACGTTCTTAGTGTCTTCAAGAAAGGAGAGTATCATTCATCCAGCAGTAGCTATTTTTAAGTGCTTTAACTTAGTAGCTTGTGAATACATATTACAAACCTCGCTCGCGTTAGAAAGCATGATCTACATTGGGAATTTCAAAAGTCCCTATGAAAAGTCACTAACAATAACCGAGATAACGAGAAATAATGGTTTTGGAAACCATACATTGAAACTTTCATGAGTAACACGCAGATTGATCATTTATCAGCACAAAGAAGACAAGTTTACGGTAGTGTGTCTGTTCTACAGTTGCCACATTCAAGTGAAAATTTATTTTCAGAATGCGCAACTCAGAACAGCATAAGTAATTACCCATGACAGTTGATCGAACCGTAATAGGTGGTGTAGCACAAGACAGATTGACGAATTTTATTTTTCATAACGTTAGATAGGACTGAGGGTTAGCTAAATCAATCAAAATATATAGGATTATGAGTGAAATAGTATTTGGGTAGATTATTCAAATCTATTTGAACAGCCTCCGCACATATCATTAACTGTCAGTCTCAGATGGCTTAAAACATTCACAACTATGAGAAACAAACAATTACGAGGACTTACACTTGCAGCAGGTTGTTCGGTGACAACTTCTTCCATAATTTGTGTGGCACACTTGCAGTTAACTAAGAGGACTAGGAAATATCGTAGACGACTACTAACGCACACGTTCACAGGTGAAAATTTACACTTAGCCTATATATATATATTCTCAGATTTTATAAGGTTCCCCTGTTGTCGCTATAAAACATACTAAAATAAAAGAAACGATTGGTTAGGGAAAGTAGGTCATGATTGGTCATAGAATAAATATCGGAATTCAATGTCGATAAGATATGTAGTGTGGAAAAAACTAAAAATAAATGTTGTTAAAGGGGTCAACACATGAACAGTCTTTTGGGGGAATGTTTTTTTAACAAAAAAAAAAATTCGTAAACGAAATTTATAAAGCGTAATCCCGTAAGAAGTGTTGAAAAATAGTCTATGTGGAAGAAGTTGATGAAAGCCAACAGTTTATAGCATACAATGTTCCCAGAGTTACACCACTAGGTTGACAATGAGATTCAGATTTTACAATGTGTTCAGAAGAAATAGACGGATTTCGACTTGATGTCAATCCACATATAAGTTGATTTACAGGTATCGATTGCCATTCTGTGGAATTTATACTCCAGTACCTAATTATGATAACAATAACAACAGATTCATATTATAAATATACTGTGTATAACAAAATGGTTTACAAACACATACTAATATTAAGAAAACAATTTTGAATAATATCACGCTTTACTGACACTCTAACTTTAGTTGACTATCAATGTATACTTAGACAATGTCGTTTAAAAATCAAAGTGATCTGAATCAACAGCGACGGAAATACAGATGATGGTTTACTACGGTAAGAGACTTCAGGGTTCGCTGTTGTATTTTACATATTACTAAAACACAGACTTGGTACATTATGAGCACCAAGAGGTGAAACACCGAATATCATAGTTTATGCGAGGGCTACGATGCCGCTCGGACGCCTAAACCAAAGTAGGCGGTGGTCTTGAATGTTCACCCCTGAGTCTTAGACAGTGAGGCAGAATAAGCAGCTGCGTTCCCATGGTGGATGGTGATCGAGACAACTCCTACGCTATTCGATCCGTTCGGATTCTGGAGCTCATGTACACCATATGCTTGGGAACAGGGCTTACTACGTCACCAATGTAGACCAGCATGTCCACCAGTCCGGTTATAAGTGTATTAGCCCTTTCACTCTTGTGAGGAACAACCCCGCCGTGTGAATCCAGTTAATGGAACTACAAACTTTGATTCACTTCGCTATATGGTCAGGCAAATCTTATTCAGAAGTTCCATTTCTCAGTGGGTGAATGTTGAAAAAATAATTTCACGTCAATTTCTTTATTTGGTAAACCACACAGAAATACAGCATTATTTACTGGATGGCGTTTTGAGCACAGTTTATTACCCTTAATCATATCAAATTAACACCACAGATTTCAAATTTGCTTCCTGTGCAGATCAAACGCCTAGTTAATCCAGCTTCACGGCTAGGAGAATTTTCCAAGTATCTGCAATGGGTGTTCAATCGTTCTGGTTGCAGGTATTCAGTGTTGATTCGATAATATATCAATTACCACGTTATGATTAAGAGGCGAAGAACATAGGTCAAAGCAGTCGTTCGGCGTCAGTTAGACTACTTGAGTACGAAAATTTAGCTGAATACAGACTGACAAAACCTAGTAAAATAAGTAATCTAGAAGAAATCTTGGTACGCAATGACATATAATCACATTATCGGCGGACAAAAGGAGTAAGTCCTAAAATTCAGTATAGTTAAGAGAGAGATTGTTTACCGAATATTGGCTTATCGAATCAACACCTAATAATGCAACCATTATGATTCAACACATTAAAAAATTCCACTACCAATAAGAATGAAAGAACAAGGCATTAAGTTAGCACATAAAAAGAAATTTAAAGTTGCCTTAATATTTGGACACTAGATTAGGAGCAGTAAACTGTGTTAAAAACAGCATCAAGTAATGATATATCACTGTGCGCTCTTTCAAATAAACAACATGCTGCAGGTCCGTGAGCAGTGCTACTGCTGGGGAAAAGCGATGTAACAGCAGACAGGTGTTTCCTCAGGTGCCCAACCATGCCAGCTGTGCTGTCTCTCCACTCTGGAGTGAGGACGTTAGAAAATGTCAACCCCAAAAATTGTACGTCCCGAATTACCCTACGGTGATCCATAGACGGCAGTAAGTTACGAATACAAAATCAAACAACAAGATGTGTGTGACCAGCCTCAATCAGTTGTCCATTGGGATCTGCAATCAAGCAACACCAATACTCTCTCCCTTTCCAAGTACCCCGGGAAAAAATCAACTTCAACGGTGAGGGAACTCGGCAAGTAACAACCGACCACACACTTCAAAAAGCACACGAAATCATCCTCATCACCATTCTCCTTCAACCACGTTACCCTCATCATCTTGCTTCCCTACTACTGTCAGTACTATTCTGCAAGCTAGTCAGTCATTTTCATTTCATTCTGTAACCACTTATAACGATGAGGGCCAGAAAAACACTCACAATATTCTCTTTGAGTCAGGCCACCAACAGACTGCGTGGAGACAGACCATCGTTGGTGAGGGTCAGAAGAAGACCACTACCCCTTCTGGAACATGTTCGTAGGCTCCAACCACGCCTTGGTTCGCCCACGTTTATCCTTACGATTAGAGGGACACAAAAAAATGTTCAAAGTGAAGCAGTTACGCCCCAAACTAGATCAAGAAATGGAATCCCTATATTTAAGGAGGAAATAACGGAACGAGTATCTGAGGTCAACACCAAGACCCCTCCTGAGGAAGCCTGGCATAACGTGCAGTTAGCTATAAATACATCTGTAAAGGCTGTTAATGACCTAAAGACAAAAAGTTAGTAAGAGCCAGTGGATTTCCATCACTTCATCTGAACCGGTTAGTGCAAGAAGGCTGATTCCAGTGAGCTTCGAATATGATGAGGAGAGAAAGCTGCTCAAACGCAAACTAACAAGAAGTATCCGCCACCACCGTGAACAGTGATGGACAACAAAAACGAAAGAGATGGAAAAGACATCGGAGATAGGTGACACCAGACAACTATTTAGGCTTATCAGGGAAACAGGTAGCACAAGGTAAATAATAAATGTGTGATCTTTGAGAACAACGGCGTCATAATTAGCTCTCAGAGAAGACGACTGGAACTTTGGGAAGAACACTTTGAGGAGCAATTTAACTGGACTACAGTCAAGTTCAACCTCCTGAGCATCCAATATCTCCCTGAATGGGATAAAAACACTAGCCCTACATCCCTAACCGAGGTTAAAAAAGCCTACACTTGTATGAAACGAGACAAAGCAGTGGGACATGGTGGTATGACTCCACAGGTGTTTAAAGACAAGGGAAACAGTTAACTATCTGTATTCACAAAGGTACTAGGCAGAGTCGGGGAATCAGAAATAGTCCTGTCGGGATGGTGTAAGTCATTCCTTATCCCAGTATAAAAGAAGGCAGACAAGTCTTACTGTGATAATCACAGGGGGATTAGCTTGATTAGTATGGTGGTATCTAAATTTCTAGGTTCAATCATTATGCGTAGACTAAATGGTGTTCAGGAGATACAAACACGAAAAAATCAGACGGGCTTTAGACCAGACAGAGGGTGTATCGATCATATCTCCACCCTTCGACAGATTCTACAACTTTGGCATACTTATCGGCGACCAACAGTAGTCATATTTTGATGTGGTTGTGTTCTCTGAGCTGGGTGGTTAATTTCAGAAGTGTTCATTGCCCTACTAGGCAAAATCTTTAGTGGTTACTTCAATTTGAAGTCATATTTCTTGACCTGAAAGCGTTATTCACTTCCGCCAACCGAGACGGGTACTATGGTGATGTTCGGCCGTGAAGGGAATACATCGCACTGATCAAGGCACTCACTCTACTCGAACTCATGCAGACAGGTAGGAGCCTACGGAGAGTTGGCATCTGAAGTGGTGACAACCGGTGGTGCCCACTGTTCTCATTTCGCTTTAATTCCACCACAGATAGGCTAATGGACTTAACCCTAAATGATTTCAGCGACTCATGGACTGACTTGTTACCAGGGGATAATCTTGTTGACTTGGAACATGTGGATGATATAGTCCTGCTCCTAGGTGAAGACACTGACAAAATGCAGTCTTCTCAACACCTTGGGCAACAATCTTCGAATGTTAGCTATGCGATTCGCTCCTGCTGTCAAATGTAAGATGATGCTACAGGACTGGACCACATCGACTCATTCCTAACTTAAAGACGGGGTGTGAAGTGGTGGAGCGTGTTGACCACTTCACTTATTTAGTGAGTTGCATCAGCAGGTTGAGCACTGACGAAATATCAGCACAGATATAGAAGGCTCGTTTGGCATTTCCCAGTTTACGCCATCTCTGGCTTAGTAGACGTGATATCCGGCTGTCAATCAAAGGACGTGTGTACTGCACAGCAGTAGTTTGCTCCGTCCCGCTTTATGGTTGTGAGCGAGACATGGCCATTGAAAGCAGAAGATATGAAAAGTCTGGCGAGCTGTCTGGTGTCTGGATTCTATCTCCCATGTTAAGTGGTATAATAGGGTAAATAATATTGAGGTTAGGGTTCATTAGAGTGCTAAGTAGGAAGGGGAAATCAATCGACGAGGTTGAAAAGTTACACCGATTGAGATGGTTCAGACACGGGTTACGCATGCCTAGCCATCGCCTTCCTCGACAATGGAAGATGTTAGTTGACAGAGGATTGATCAGGTTGGAAAAGAGCTAGTGGTGGTCAAACCAAAACATGGCTTCATCAGTCAATGAAATCCACAACAGTTAGTTTAAGCCAGCCACGTAGGAAGATATAAACTTCCTGATTGGTTGGGGTCCTCGGGATGGTAAAACCCAATGGCTGGAAACAATTGGTGGTATGGCTCAGAATCTTTTTCAATGGTGCAGATGCACTCACTCTTTGTGATTTATAATGTCCAATAAAATTCTATTGTCCTTCCATATCACTGTTCTTTTTCTCTCACACTTCTGTTTATTATCTCCCTTTATTCTCTTCTCTTGCTGTGTGCTACATGGAGGGTGGCAACTCGAACTGCTGGATATTTGTGCAAAGTTTTACGTTGAAACGAGTCATTCAGTCATGAGATTGGTCTGAAAGAGTGAGAAGATGGATATATATATATATATATAAAACTTTAGGATAACTGTGTTTCGCGTACGGTTTATGTTTCATATCACGGATACTGGAAGACTTACAAGCGATAACCAACAATTTGGTATGATGGATAGTGAATTTCACTTCTCTGAAGTAAGTGTGTTGTGAACATCCACAAAACAAGCACAAGGAAGAAGACGCGAATTCATAACAGTTGTGTCAAGTCAGTGACTAAGTGAGCATGTCACCGGAGGCATTCGCAGCAGGCTACTGTAGACTTTCACATACAGCCGTCTTCGTTGCCTTCGTTAAGTACGCTGATGATCTGATTGCTTCTATGCCTGTTACTTCTCAGTAAGACTGTTGCAAAATGAATAACTTAGCAGAAATTGGTCATTGGTCCTTTTCAAGCTTAATCCCTCCAAATGTTAGGAGGTTAATTTCCCTTTCAGACATAAGCGCGACTTACGTGAACTGGTTAATTCACACGTTCCACTATCATTGATGCCACAGAAGTTGAAACTAAATCGAATGTTAAGTACCTTGGACTGTGTATCTCCTCTGGTCTTTCCTATTCTTCCTATATCATGTTAGTTTTCAGAAAGATATTTCGTTTACGGTTTTACGTAAGGAATTTAAGACGATCTGGTATCATTGAGTCTCTACTGTTAAAGTACGTTAATTCTGGTATTCTGCCTATACTTCTCTAGTGTTCCCCTTTAATCTTCCCCGGGTTATCTAAGAAAGATTTTGTTATACTTCGAAAGGCCCTAAAAACCGTCAGTAGAGAGAGGGGGATGTTACTGAACCAACTCTTTAATACTACTGTGAATAGACATATGGACTCATGCAAGAAATAAGCAAATATTACCTTATCAGAGTCTGAGCATCCTCTCTATACACAAGTCCCTCCTTGCACCTCATCGGGTAGAACTAAAAGCGACTTAGTATAAAAACTCTACAATACCTTACTTAGCACATATTTTATATGATGAGGAAGCTGCTGGGCAGGAAATTACTAACTTCCTGTGGAACTCTAGGTAAACAGCTTTATTTTTTTAACTGTTCCATTGGTTTTAATGTTTTCACTTAATTTTTTTTCATTTCCTTATTGAACAATATTATCAATGTAAATGCCCCGTTTTAATTATTATCCCTGTGACGAGAGAGTCAGATGCAATACTGTACTACTACATGCTGAAAATTCCATATTTGTGCCGAAAGTACCGTTTGGAATAAAGCCATTATTATTATACTGAAGATCAGGTAGCTGGTCAGAATATATAAGCAACGGTTCTGGTAGAGAACCAACTGAGAACCTATTGCACAAGCAAATGAAGATAGAATAAGGCACACGTTGAGAATACATTTAAGTGATATTACACTTAAGGCTATCGAGTTGAGCTTGAAGACGGGGGGGGGGATGACAGGCCGGGCTTCCAAGAGAGGCGCAGGGGAGATCACGTGGAGAGGATATGAAGGCTTGTGCGCAGCTGTGCATCCAAGTGGGAGAACATAGTGGAATCCAGATGTACCGCTGAATCCCAGTGTCCTACTTGGAACGCGATGGAATTATTATAATAACAGCAATTAAAAGCTTATGTGTGAGAGAAATAATACAACCATACAGAAGCATTTACCAAATCGGTGTTTGGTCCTTATCAATTTCGATAGTGGTCGGCATAGTTGACAACTCCGGATAAGCATACTTCGAAGGACTAGTTGTAGGTTGATTTTGGAAATATTTTTCGAATGCTAGCCAGTCTTCATTCAATTTAGTAAGGACAGATCTTGGAAGCCAAACAACTGCAGATACTTCATCAGCTTCTAAAGCAAAGTGTGGTAGACACAAGCGATTATCTTTAAAAGTTGAATTTGACCTGTAGACCACAAAAAGAAAATAGTAGTGAAGGGTGGAATTCGTAGTCAAGAGCTGAAGGAACTAAAATTACGGGAAATACTACCAAGAATTATAGTTAGATAAGCACATGCATAATTCATTTTTCAGTAAACTTTTAATCTAAAATCAATTAAAGCAACCAAGAAGTAGGTGTAACCAGTCATCCGATAATACAAACTCTTTTACAGTCCACCGGAGGTGCTAACTACTGTTTTGGTATAATTTTCAGTGCATTGGCCAAATTAACAGACTTAGTTATGAAAAGTTCACTGCATGTAGAACTTTCGAAGCAGATCAGGTTTTTCTGCTTCATAAATGATTCACTGGAATAATTAGCTTCAGTCAGACTTCACATCAGAATAATTTTCCAAATAGTGTGTACATTGAAGTCAGTTTTAAACAACAATTACAAATAAATAAGATTTTTGACAAAGTCGTCAGATGTGTTGTTACAGCTAAAAAGTGATTCACTTAACGAATCACCAAACATAAATGAATTGAGGAATTCAAGCCAGTGAATTTTGTACATTACTTAGTAGTAGCGCCGTAGTCATAAAAACTCACAACATAATTTACAATAGACATGTGTGGTGTCTTCCTTGTTCATATTTGTTCAGAAAATGTAAGTTCACCTCATGAAATTTATTTTGCTAGGCAAAAGTAGAATCTGCACCATTATTAATGAACAGGTAAATTCGTACATGATGACTTTTTAAACCCAAACTTAACGTAAAAAACAACAGAACTACTCTTCGTTTGTGTGTATGAAATCCTTCTACACCTTGTCAAGAAGCAACAAAAAAGATCGTATCTACATGTTCTATGAAAGTTTGATCAACAGAGACGACAACGAAGCATAAAAAACCCAGAAAATCTACTACTAAACAACGTTCCATGATTATACGACTGATATTTGTGCAAACTGAACAGTTATCAGTTTTTAATAAGTGTTTTACAATTAATGAACTCTGGGAGTAAAATATATTCCTGTCGAGATCTATTCTTAGGTATTTGTTTGGCCACCTGCAACAAAGTAAGTCCATTCAATGATAGAATAATATTCCCTTATCAACTGTACAAAACTAGGTTAAGAAGCATCCCATAGTCATCATTTATGTTGATGGACGACAGCTGTAATTTTCTTCATAAATGACTAGTAGGTCCTTTTTTGTTTTGAAATTTCTAGATATTCCCTGTGTTGTTATATTTATCGTTAGAAACGAAAATACACGTTTGATTGGCTTTTCAAAGTTACTTTTCTCTAGGGTTTCTCAATTTCGCAAATTCTGAGCTGTAACAAATGTGTAGTTTACATACATCACTAAACACAGAAGGTTCAGCCATCTCATTCTATAAATCCGTACAGTTCACTTGAACGAATGAGTTAGGAAGAAAACTACGTAGGCATAATATAAAGGAGTGAGCGATTTCAGGTTAAGAAACAACTAACTACTCACATATGCATATTAGTAGCTTACTTTTCCGAGCAAAATTTATTTCTGATTACAAACAGACAATATATTAGAGATCCCTAAGTAACCGATAACACCAGATTTAACCTGAAATGCTTTGTTGCTGTTAACAAGAGCTTCATAATAGCCACATAATCTAAAGTTTAGTGGATACAAGTGCTTTCTTCAAAATCCCCATAATTATGAGTTATAAATGAAAGTAACCTTCACAAATCTTACTTGGAAGTAGACCATTTGACTGAGTAATATATGACCATATGGTGAGATTTCGGGATAATGGCACTTTTCCCAGCTATCGTATCAGAACGAGATGGATAAGCAGCCTCCCAAGCACAGAGCGGCTCAATTCTACATTCACTACGAAAATCTGTGTGTAGACCCAATTCCTCTGTTAGCTCACGAAAAGCAGTATCCTTTAATCAATAATATACAAAATAAATAATTTTTGAGTTATGATTCAGGTTATGTTTATCAGTAACTGAGTCTTTAAAACATTTTTAACATTTTGATTGTATTGGACCGCAAACATTACATAATTTGAGTACGATAAAGTTCTAGCCAATCAAACCGACCACTTAATTTATTTTTTTTATTTTTGATTACAGCTTGATGCCACACCGTATTTTCAGTACAAGTATGGAATTTTCAGCATGGATATCGGTAGCCCAAATTTTGCAGGCCAACCATAGATATGGGGTGTGCGTCGGCAGGGGATCGAACCCCATGTGCATGGTCGGCGAGAGTCCTAACCACTGTGCAAGGTGGCCGAATATTTTAGACTAAATACCAAGTCGAAATAACATAATAATGTCGATATTAGACACAAGCTGTTACTGAACAACACATATTAATTAAACGACGTTATCCTTAAGAATAAATGTCTGACCATACAATGCATTTTTATATTTTTTTTCAGGGAAGTGTCTTTAAGATATATATCCCAAAACAATTTCAGAAAGATTCAATTATATAACCACATAAAACCTTGCAAAGTTAACAGTATGTAGATCGATAATTTTCAGAGATGTCTTATCAACTAACAAAGGAATTTTATTAGATCAAATGTTCTAGTTATTTCGACACTAATGTTGCATAATGCATAAGTTACGGATTGAAAAGAACTTGACAGCCCTCTACAGATTTACACACCAAGCTATAAGTTACTCAATGTTTAAGGATTTATGACATTCCAAACAGACAGCTGCCACTTCGACGGGGTGGTCAGGTTTACATATAACAATGACCCAAAAGGCTATACTGACTGGAACTAATGTTCCTGCAAGTTCCACCACGCCAGGGAGATTGCTAGGATAGAGATGAGACTAAAAGTAGTTACCGGCTAAGTGTAAGATTTTTCACGCTACATCGTGTGTCTATGGACAAAGTCGTACAGCTGGGGAGAAGCAGTTTAACGGCAGAGAAGTGTTTCCCTGGGATGACTACCATGCCAGCTGTGCGAGAACGTTAGAAAATGTCAACCCCAAAAATTGTACGTCCCGAATTACCCTACGGTGATCCATAGACGGCAGTAAGTTACGAATACAAAATCAAACAACAAGATGTGTGTGACCAGCCTCAATCAGTTGTCCATTGGGATCTGCAATCAAGCAACACCAATACTCTCTCCCTTTCCAAGTACCCCGGGAAAAAATCAACTTCAACGGTGAGGGAACTCGGCAAGTAACAACCGACCACACACTTCAAAAAGCACACGAAATCATCCTCATCACCATTCTCCTTCAACCACGTTACCCTCATCATCTTGCTTCCCTACTACTGTCAGTACTATTCTGCAAGCTAGTCAGTCATTTTCATTTCATTCTGTAACCACTTATAACGATGAGGGCCAGAAAAACACTCACAATATTCTCTTTGAGTCAGGCCACCAACAGACTGCGTGGAGACAGACCATCGTTGGTGAGGGTCAGAAGAAGACCACTACCCCTTCTGGAACATGTTCGTAGGCTCCGATCACGCCTTGGTTCGCCCACGTTTATCCTTACGATTAGAGGGACACAAAAAAATGTTCAAAGTGAAGCAGTTACGCCCCAAACTAGATCAAGAAATGGAATCCCTATATTTAAGGAGGAAATAACGGAACGAGTATCTGAGGTCAACACCAAGACCCCTCCTGAGGAAGCCTGGCATAACGTGCAGTTAGCTATAGATACATCTGTAAAGGCTGTTAATGACCTAAAGACAAAAAGTTAGTAAGAGCCAGTGGATTTCCATCACTTCATCTGAACCGGTTAGTGAAAGAATACTGATTTCGGTGAAAGCGAAATTAGTTAAGGAAAACATTAGGACAGACTAAATATGTATTGCTGTAGTTCGAAGTCATAATTATTTTTATATCTGAGTAGTTTTTGATGAATTGTGGAAATAATGAGGCATTTAGTCTTCATTATAATAAAAGTTTTTGTATTTACCAGTGAATGAAAAATATAATATTGTCTTCACTGGCTTTTCGGTATTTAATGCTAATAGCTTCATCAAAGTATTATTAAACCAGAATTTACAAACTCCCAGCTTATATATAACGACTTAATCATCGTTCCTCAGTATGGGATCATTTTTGCGTTGTCAAGTTGGCCATTTGGTAAAGATAACAAAACCAGGTGTAGATTGCTGGGTTTTATAAGTGTATAAAATTATAAAAGTACCGTGTGTTTACATAATGAAATTGCTTATCACATTCGTGTTGATTTTTTCATTTCACGGGAAGGCATTTAGTTTTGAGCATATTACTTAATACATGAGACTTGAGATATATTACCTATGTACACCTATGCACACAACATAAAAAACAAACCTGTATGGGTTCGCCAGCCTCACAGTGACCACCGGGTGGTACCCAAACTCCTGGATAAGATCGCATATGCCAAGGTCTGCGAGAGAGAAACAAACCATCTTGTCCTGAAATATGCAAAAGGCAGGCGCATGCTACAGGGATCCACTTGCGACCTGAAGATAGCAAATCAGCATCCGTAAAGCGCCGATTACGAGCAGCAAAAGGGCACACATAAGGTCTCTAAAATAATATTGTTATAAGGAAGTCAGTCAGCATATGTGCTACTTTTCTTGCCAACTAATACTCAACAGAGCAAAAACAATCAATTAAAAATTTACTATTTAACTGAAACTTCGAAACATATGTACACTTATTTAGAAACACCCGATTTGGATTGGCAAACAGAACTAGAATATATTATATGAACAGAAGATCCAGCATTAAATAATACATAATAACATGCAAATCATGAAAAAAAAATAACAAGAAAGTGAAAATGAAAATAGTATCACCAAAGGTTTTAGAACGTAATGACAGGAGGAGAAAAAATGAAAGACGAACAAAAACGAGGTATAACTAAGATGGTAAATTACAGATGCAATTACACTGCTGTAGTAAATCTTAAACTACTCTCGAAAGAAAATCTCTTCCGATCATCTTCAACGTTAATTAGTAAGGGGGAGTTGACTTTCAACAGCGGCTATCGGTCAGGTCAATGTGGTATTATGTTACTAGAAAATTAGGCAGTTAAGTGCAGTAGTTATTGTACTTCACAATATTGGAAGTAAAAAGGAGTAAATAACTGAATTCATTCACGCTGTTAATATTCAGTTGCTTACAAAAACAGGTAAATTTAAATTATACTCTCCGAATGTGTTAACGGAGTAACTACAGGGTTACCAGATAAAACAATGATTCTCTCAATCAACACAACCCAAGAATTTAAAAGCTCAGTAAGATTATGAAGCAGAAAAATTTATACGTATCGCATACCGAATCCGTGCAAATACCTTTAATTCACATTAGTCACACATATCTCCGTTTGCTCAATTCTACAGAATTAGTGAAAATTAGTGGCATACTCCAATTAGTGAAAGTATTGATCAAAGTTTGTCTTACGTTGCCAAAAAGGATACTATACATTAGTCCCTTCATTAAACGTCAGATAAAGTATCACGAACTTTTTAGACACCTTGTAAATCGCAACGCCTTATTTCACTATGACGCTCTGACAATATGCTTGCTAATGGACAAAAGTTTGTTAAAATTGTACACTTTTTTATTTTACTAAAGAATTCAGGTTGTATGCAGCTGGTGAGAGCCGACGAAATAAAATGGATCCAGATTATTCTGTGCCAATGTTTCTTCTTTCTTTGTGCAAATATCACGAACTTTGCTAGATTATACATTTCGCGTAATATGAATGCATCAGTGAAAGAATTGTGCAACATATATGACTATTACTGATGTAATGTAATGAATCTCACTCCAGTTGTTAATGAAAAGTAGTGACAGGTACACATCATATTCTACTTCCTGTACGTTCGAAAAAGTTGCATTGGGTAGGTAATACATGAGCAGAATTTCTCTGCAGCTTAAGTTCTGCTTTCTAGTCTATCGTTTTTTTTCGTCTGTGGAGGTGATAATGAAACGCCTTTCTAGTATTTAGTGTCAAAAACTGATCGTGTACAGATTTTTAAAATTATATAGAAAAAGCCATCTTAAAAGATAATGGAAAGGCGAAGCAACATCGAGCCTTGGATGAAAGTTTATCAGTCAAGGTGCTAATATTGCAACAAAGAGAACCTGACAGACAAACAAAATACAGATCTATACGAATGAATGAAAATGATCATTTGTACTGGGATGTTTTTTTACCTCAAAACAGTGGTTCTCGATACTTTAAAGATGCCAAACAGGCAAATTTAAGAAATTCCTTTTGAGTGAACACCTCTTACCTAATTCTACTCGGTTTACGGCTCAACCCAACCTACTTTGGTCAAGATATCCTACCTCTTAGCGATACTCCGAAATAAGGTAAAGTTTACTTCAGGTACTAACAAAACTAAAGAGAAAGTTTCACCAAGAAGTAAATGACAAAAAAGGTCATAAAAACGGTTTGCTTTAGTCCTACAAATACACAAATAACACAGTTAGAAATGACTTAACGTACACTAACTAACTTCCCCTAGTTTACTACCTCGCTAGTTTTCTATCCGGTCCCATGCCCGGGAAAAGAGGGAGGATTGGGAGGGGGGGCCATCGACCCCACCCCGGATAAGCAATCAAACTGCTACACAAAATTCAACGCACAAAAATATTAAAAATATAAATAAACTTATTCTTCGCTGGAATCGCAGAGGCGAAATGAGACAGCGGGCTGGTTAAAGCCTTCGGGAAGTCAGTCAGCCAACCAATGTTTCTTCTCTCGGTGAAAGCAAGAACAAGAATGGGTACGTGAAATGTCCGTACAATGTACGAGACTGGGAAGGCTGCCCAACTAGCCAACGAGATGCAAAGACATGGCCTAGAAGTGCTGGGTATCTGCGAAAGCAGATGAAACGGATGTGGATTATCCAAATTGTCAACTGGAAAGTCAGTAGTCTACTCCGGTTTGGTAACCCAGACAACAACCACGAGCACACTGAGGCAGTGGGTGGCTATCGTGATGTTACCAACAGCGGTCAAAGCTCTGATGCAGTGAGAACCAATCGCCTCACACAGGATTGTGACGGCAACATCCAGCTCGAAAGGAAGGAAAGTCACAGTCATCCAATCCTACGCACCTGCGAACAACGCGAACAAGACAAGAAGGAAGATCTCTACAGACAACTACAAATGGTAATGGACAACATAGCCAATAGACATTGAAATCCCCATAGGCGATATGAATGAAAGCCAAACTGGGAGCAGATAATAAGGGAAAAGAACACACTATGGGTCAAGAGACACCCTCGGAGAAATGAATGAGAACGGAGACCTCTTCGCAAACTACTGTGTCTTCAATGATGTGGTGATCGAAGGCAGCGTATACAGGCATAGGGATATACACAAAGCAACATGGGTTTCACCTGACGGACACACCACAAACCAGACAGACTTCATCTCAATGCCGCTCAACGAAGTGGAGACGCAGCCAGTCTGCTGGACGCAAAGTCGAGAAGGGGAGCAGATGTGGACTCAGACCATCATTTAGTCCAAGGAACCTTCAAGGTCAAGCTGAAATCCATGAAAACAAATGGAGACAGACCAGTGTAATTCAAGTTCAACATCCAGAAATTGAAGGACAAAACTACAAGGGACACCTTCACCACAGAGCAGATCACAGCAAAGTCAAATACACGATGTGGCGTCACTGAGGTAACTTGTCTGGTAGAACATTGGAACTCTCTGGAGGTGACGTTCAAGCAGGCGTATACAACCGTTCTAGAAGGAAAGAAGAGTTGAGATAATGAATGGCTCTCAACGGACATCCACCTGGAAGCTAATAGAAAAGAGGAGAGGAGAATGGTGAATGAGATGACTCAATACAAAGATGGACGACGGAAGGAGAAGTTGAGTTTAATGTGCACTGCACTGAATAAAGAGTGCCAGGAAAGACAAAAGACAATCCTACGACACACTGGCAACTGAAGCAGAACACGCAGGGCGCAAAACATTATGTCAGATAACCAGGTCTCTATCCGGGAACAGATCAATCCAGACAATGACACTAATAAGATAACTTGATTATCAAGGAGGAGAAACAAATAAAACAATGGGATGATCACTTTAAAGGACACTTAAGTCGACCATCACCAGCAACACACCCAGAAATACCACCACCACCAACAGCACTCACAGAACTGACTACCAGTGGACACCAATCCTCCAACGAAAGTGGAAATCCTGAATGCGATAAAGCTACTGAAGGCCAGCCGGGAAGGCAGCATGACCAGACGCAATTCCCCACCACCCGAAGCTCTGAAAACAGACCCAGAGACTGCGGCAGATGTTCTCACGCCATTACTGTAAGAGGTTTGGAAAGAGGGAGAGGTGCCTACTGTTTGAAAGGAAGGCTGACTATCTCGTCAAGCTGCCAAACAAAGGTGACTTAGGCCTGTGCAATAACTGGCGTGAAATAATGCTCCTGTCCACGCCAAGTAAAATACTAAGTCGCATCATCCTGGGGAGAATACAAGATGCACTGGATACAGAACTCCGCCACCAACTGAGACAAGCTGAATTCAGGAAAAGCAAATCATGTGTTGATCGAATTGCAGCTGTACACATCGTCATCGAACAAAGCATAGAGCGGCAGTCAAATCTCTCTCTAACTCAACTTCATCGACTTCGATAAGGTCTTCACAAGACAGTGTTGACCGGGAAGTATTTTGGAAAGTACTTCAACACCACGGCCTGCATCAATTCTTTATCAACCTCATTCAACAGCTTTATAACGATGGCATGTATCAGGTGATCCACAACGGAAAACTCAGCGAAGCGTTCGACGTAAACACAGGAGTAATAGAAGGACACCTACAAATAATACCGATGATATTCCTAGTTGTGGTGGACTGGATTATGTGGCACACCGTATGTATCGAGTGAGAAAACAGGAATGCGCGAGACCACCAATAAAAAAAATCTAGAAGATCTGAATTTGCAGATGATTTATGTCTGATATCACACAAAATCGAAAACTTGCAGGTGGAAACCAACAAAACGACTGCAGGAGCAGGCAGAAAATATAGGACTGAAGTGATGAAGATTATCAGCCAAACAGCCAACCACAACAAGCGAAAATCAGCATCACTGGGAGAAATTTGGAAGTAGTCACTTTCACTCATTTAGTAAACATTTTCCTAATGATTGCAGATGTCAAAGCGAGAATCGGAAGGTCAAGATACGCCTCCATCAATCTGATGTCAATTTGGAAATCTTCTGCACTCAACATCAAGAACAAGATTCGGATTTTGCAGCACAAAGGTCAAGTAAGTTCTTCTAAATGGGTCAGAAACTTGACGAGGGATTCACGAAAAGCATTTCCAGCAAGTTATAGACACTTATCAACAACTACCTTCGCTGGCTCTATACTGAAGATAAAATAACTAGCCAAAAAGAACTAGCAACAAGAAACTCTGGCAACCAACCAAGAGCCGACTGCTCAAGAAATATGCAGAAGAAAATGTGGATGCGGAGACCGTCGAATGACAATGCGCTCCAGGCCGAATGGGAAACGACTTGTAGGTTTTCCTAGTGTGACATGAAGGAGGTCGTGCGGGGAGGAGAGGGGAGATTATGGGCGATCATAAGTCTAGCTGAAGGGAAGAGCAGAAAATATAAAAATTGGAGATGTTTTGTTAAAGGTCGATGTTCTACTGGAAACCCAAGGAAAAAAATAATAGGATAATAAATATTAATGTAGACTGACTCGGAAACGTAGATTTGTCCCACTTAGTCCATGATTGGTGGTTTCGACAATCAAATCACCTGCATTTTGTCTGATATTCACAATCGCCTCATCCTCCAAACCCAAAACATCTATTATTGACTTTTTTTAAGTATGAAACATTAGCTAAATACCTCTCCAAATTCCAGTCGTCTGTGAAGATTTGAAGAATACACGTAAACCATGTTGCTAAGCTTTTCGATTTGACTTGAAATAACTCGAGTCGTTGACTTCGGAAAGCATATGTTAACGAAAAGCATTACCAGGATCCTTATGTATCATGTGATACGTATCTCATACGTATGTACATACAGTGCTCTGTATGCTGATAGCAGACGAAACCCTAAAGGTAACAGGAAAAGAAATATACTAACGAATTAGTCAACTAAAGTAGCAGGGAGAATCACAGAAATCACACAAACTTTCTAAGGAGTACATCAGTAACATATTTCATAAGCGACTAAAATTATCATCAATGTCACAATACCTTACCAAAAAAATGTAAATTTAAGCTTATATTGCTGTGGTAAGTCACAGTGGTTTCAAAAAAGAACGAAAACGAGCAAACGGGAACAGATAGGAATAGAGCACTAACCTTGACGTACCGTTGCAGTTACTAATGCCCGCGTCCTGATTTCCAGTGGCTACTTGGAAACAACTTTAGATACGAAAATGGTCTGGTTCTTTGATAGTCTCCGTTATGCTGCTTGTATTATTTAGTTTTCTGCACACTATCCAATGATAGTTATGATTAACCAGTGTACAACGTATGTCTGGGTGAGTGCTATGCCGCCACGTGGTTGAACACTATTTCAGAAAGAGGAGAAAATTCTGCACAGCTGCGAAATGGCATAAAATGCAATTATGAATAATACATTATTGGAAGTATATTTACAAGATAAATACAAGGAGAAGAAGAAGCTGTATAGTACATGAAATGATAGTATACATTTGCAATGTTTAATGCTAACCATATTGGTCTAAGCATGGAAACTATCACGTTTCCGATGAAAATGTAGATTTGTCCAAACACTGGTGTCATATTTTTAATCAAAGCAACCAGACTTTGGGAAAGCAACAAGTATGAACAAAGAGCAACTTTTAGCTTTAATAAAGGCCTAGGTAATTAGCATAAAAGTAGAATATAATAGTGCGTAAATAAAAAGACTATTGTGAGCTAGGTAAATGATATTTAAGTGAGGAGTGAATTCGATGATCTGAAAAATTAGAAGCCGTAGAATAAGCTGGACTGTAATATGCCTCACGAATTTCTATAGGGCATCTTGACAAGAAGCTCAACAGTCTTGTAGACGGTAGGAGCAAAAGCACTTTTTTTTATTTAGAATTCAAATCTGTACAAACCTTATTATTATTTTTTGTTGAGGGTCCAGACTAATGTTTAGTTCTCGAGCTGTTCAAAAATGCATGTTGCTGTCCTACAGATTGGAGCAGTTCACAATTGTGACCACTACCATATCTGCTGATCAGCATGCGTAAATGCGTGATCCCATTACGAAAAGGGAGTTAATTAAAGAAACTCTGTGGCCCAAAACTGATCAGCGGATTTCAGTAGTTATAACTAGTTGATCTTGTAAAGCGAGCTTAACTCAGATAATGCGATGAAGTAAATTTTTTGACTTTGTGTGCATTTTCCTTCCCAACTGAACACCTCATTACGAAACTGCACATAATTCTTCAGCTGAAGGCATCAATGTCAAATGCAGCTGAAGCAACACAATACAATGTTGAAATCGACACAGATTAGTGAGTCACCTTATATGCCAAAAAAAATCAAAGTGATCCACGCCTGATCAGTAAATAAAGAGGCAGTGTGGTGGTTAACCTTTTTTTACCGTAGTCTTTGAATGTTAACTATTGTAAGTCAGTATGCATTGTACATACCCAAATCAGATCAACCTGCCAAATATGGATGCCGAATTATGTACTCTGTGTTGTTAAAAATTGCATTGCTGCTATTGTACGTAACACTGACAAGAATTTAATAAGTAGCATATAACCTACTATCCTCAGCAGGGGAGTAAAAGGCTGTGACAAGAATACGATGAATTCAAGATAATCTTAAGGCGATAAGCCTCCTGTTGGTTTCATTTAGAAGTATCACTCATGATTACTGTGTTGACGTCTATGCCGCTAGACCTGCCTTTTGTCCACACAACTACCTCAACACCTGAAGGCAGAATATGACACTTACGGCAGTTCAAAGGTGTATTTATTAGTGATGATATTAAAACAGTGTAGGGAGACACAGTGACACTGAAGCGCAGTCTCCGTGCTTTTGTTTCCTGAGAATCCAAATTTCCACTACGCGTTTCAATCCGCGCAGGAATTTAAATTCGTCGTTGAGGGCCAAATGGCTGGGGTTCAGATAAATTGACGAATTTCTGTCATCCTCTTTCAACAGAACGGTGCAACAGAAATGAGACCTTGCCACGTTGACCTCAGCAAGAACGGTGTAACAAATACAAGACAGGGCTTATGGTTGGGCAGGAGCGAAAACCTTTTAACTTCATGCCGTTTGAGGTGGTAGGTTCATCCTTTAATTTTAGACTATCAGTGATATTACAACTTAAGAGCATGAGGAACCTGGAGTTATAGTGGTATCACCCATTTGGTTAGATGGAAAATGGCCATGCGAAACACATAGAAGGCGCTTTAAGTTTCGCTAGGGAGCGAAACCTGAGAATGATTAGAGGAATGTAACGCTTTGGTGGACATTAATTGGAAAACAGTGAGACAAGACACAAGTTTAACGATATAGAATTTTGACCTAACGAGTACTTTTCATACACATTTATGCAGAAGTTATCAGATTGTGAAGGATAATAATAATATATATTTATTCCTATCAATGTAGGACACACCTGTTGTACAGGCATGGATAAGTGGAGCTAAGATGTTCGGGGACTAGGATCATATAAAAGATATCAGAGAAATGGGAGGACACGGAAAAAGTATTATAGCTTAGAAACAAGCTTTGTCTTGAAATGGGAGTAAAAAGGCAGTTTGAAAGCAATGACTACTAATTCTCGAACAAGTAAAACAGGTTTAGGTATTTTTACGGCCAAGTCTTGATCGAGTTTTGGCGCAAACCGGGTGAGGATAAACGTTATCTCTCTTTAAGCCTTGTGCACAAAACACGTGAGCCCACCAATGAACTACCAATGTCCAATATAGTCTTTACGATCTAGTGTAAACTAAGTTGATCTGTTTCCGCTATCTTCCTGATTGTAAGGTAGAAGTACTTGTTTTTAGCAAACTTCTAAGTAGTTCTTCCTGCCACTCGACTGACGTATCCTTGGCTGACTGGAAAAGGAGCGGTGCTGGCATTGATTATATGTGATTCGTAGTATGCGGTGTGTTAAGACCATGAATGGAGTTGATCGTTTTACATGCTAGTTGCCCGGTGTGGTCGAAAAGAGAGATAACAATAATAATAATGCATATTACTAATATAGATTGTGTAGGCTTAACAAGGAAAAAATGAAGGAAGACGTAAAAAACGGTGAAATTTGGAACTCATATATTTACATATATCAGTAATAATGTAAGGGAACGGATAGATTGGTTGGTCGAAAGAGTAAGAAAAGGGGGAATATGAATTGGTAAATGCACTGGTTAATGTGTTTACCCACCCAGTCGGAGGATGCACCTGGGCGATATTGGCAAAGCGTGAGCTAAACAGGCAATTTTAGTGAGTGAAGACGTGGGCGAAAGGTGAATAAAATGCCGCATAAATCACCCACTTTGCCCATATCAGCCACTTTTTCCCGTTTGTTCATATCCCGAAGAATTTTCTCGTCCCACTTTTCTGAGTTTATCCATACATCCCATGTTTTTGACCATTTATCCCATGTGCAGAGAGTCAAAAATAAGTCGCTTTTTCCCACTCAACCAATTTCTCCGACCGAAAAATGCCCTTTAACCCACGTAACCCACATTTTAACCAACAAAATTAATGTACTTCTTATATCCCCAACATATTCAAACTCCCAAGAATAACTCACGCTTTAAGGTGAATAATATTCAAAACTATGCTAGCAACCAAATTAAAAAAATAGGGACTTAGAGTGCAAGGACAATATCGACGCAACCTACTCGCATACTGTGCCAGGTCACACTGGTAGCTGGTGTAGTGAGGCTATCACGCAAATTAGTTTTACTAATACCTCTGTATTGTCGGGTTGTGAGTGAAGGATGCGTTCTAGTTTGATGGACACAGATAATTGATTAAATTTGCATGAATCATAAGATTAAGATTAATCTTAAGATTAGTCTCTTGTGTGGGACTTTATCAAAGGATTTTTCCAAGCCAAAGAAGAGAGTTGTGACAAGCAAACCATGATCACGCCTAGCGGTAACATCATCAAAGTAGTCAAGTAGGCAGGTGGAGCATGATCGACTTTTCAAGAAGCTGTGTTGTGCTGGAGTGAACACTTTGTGAAGGTGGAGGTATGAAGCAATATCTTGCCCTATAACTTTTTCCATAACCCTGGAAACTACTGACGTGATATTGATCGGTCGGTAGTTTTTAACATTAGAGGTTGGTCCCAGTTTGTGCCTGGGGGTTACTAACGACAGCTTCCAGCACTCTGGGTAACTGCCATTATTTAAGGACTGATTGTAAAACTTAAAGAGGAGAATGTGTATGCCCTCACCACCTCTTTTCAACAGGACAGATGGAATTACAAGAGGGCCGGCATTATATGGTGTCCAGAGAGATGATATGGCGGATGAAATTTCTCTCTGCCTTTTTATCGCCACTAAATACAGGGAACAAACAACATTAAGGGAGCATGATATGCCGTAGTTACAAACCTAAATACATACTGAGGAATAGTCCATGAACTCATTAGACTCTATCAATGGGATGAATATTTTATTACTGACACCCTGGAGGCTGTAGTGCCCCTATTTTACAGCAGTGTTTCCCTTTGTCTAGATACCTTTGCTCCTGAGTGAGTGGTGAATTTAGTAGGCACCAAGCTGAATACATTCCAAGGGCATACTGCAATAAGTTAAGGAATTCGCTGAAACATTACTATTCCACTAGGGATATATAACTGCTGCACTCAATCCAAGAGTCACTTGAATCTATCAAACGCGTACGTTCTCGAAAGGACCTCTGCGAACAGTCAAGTACACTAAAAAGTATCAATATCAAGCGACATGTTCTGATGCAAGTTCAGCAAATGTAATGAAGTCGAAGTACATTATGCCATCGATACAATGTAGGCCAGAAAAGTATTTTAATGCAATTATTCACTTAAAAAGCATATAAAAACATAAGTTTTAACTAAACCAACATAGCAACGGACATTACCGGGATATGCAATAAAGCCACTCTACGTATCCATATATTAGAGTAGAGCCATAGAAGAGGACCTGATTAAAAAGTCAATATTTCTTCGCCCTTAGTCCCTTTTTATTCCTACTTGTTAGAATTCTAGTTTCTTCTGATTAACTTCAGGCCTCTGTTAAGTTTACGAAAGTTCTAGCTGCCTGTCTGTTTGTTGATCTCGCTCGCCTGCAGTCGAAATTATAGGCGTCGACAGGCCGTCGTCTTCTGTGAGGAAATGGTTGTTGAGTTATTC